CGTACCGACGTCTCAATTTTGGAATTAATATCTAAAGAGTTTAATAAAAATAAAGAAATTACTCTAGATTATTATGTAAATTGATATTACCTACTTATAACACAAAAACATTTCAAAAAATCTTTAACTTTGCGTCTTATTTCTAAATCGTACCCTAAAGATAAAAGATAAAGTTAATTGTAAAATGAAATCATTAAAGTGGTATCAAATGATTTTATTCTTTATCACAATTTATGTTGTATTTTATTATTTTTTATTTTTTTACTCTAAATAGATACCTACAAAATTTCAGTTAGTTACCTATGTTAATTGTAAAATTTTTAATTTATTATATAGGTATATACTTTTATTTAAAAAAATTAGTAAATGTTTAAGGAGGATGACATCATAAAAAAATAACAGAGAGATTCCGATGAAAGACATTTATATTCAAAAGTATCCTTACAGAATTTAAAGTTCATTAGGAGAATAGTTTGGGAGATGTATACGTGTGAAAAAATGCCTAATCAAGGTATAGGGGAATATTCTTAATTAAGCAGTGGTGCTGTCCTCGCACGTACCCTATAGTTTCAACCTCCTTAAGACAATTGAACTAACGTATTTTATTTATTTTAAAGTTTAATTTCTTAAGTTACCTATTTAAAAAGAAAAATCCATTTCTAATTTTCAAATATTTTCGAAATGCGTAGACCTTAACTGAATGAAATGATTTTGATGTTGTTTGAACGTATTTAATCCTTTAGATGATATGATCTATTCTTTTACGTAACATTTTCCTATTAAGTTTGTCCATTTTTATTTATTTGAATTACCTCCATGCACGTATATTATTTAATATGAATTTAAAAGGATAATGAGTTCTTGTTTCGTGATCATAACAATATACATTGATAATATTAATTCGACGGATTAAATGACGGCCTCCGTATGAAAATTAAGACTCTCACCCTCTGAGAGGCAGCTCATCCTTTTGTTATTGTCGTTTTTTCGGTGGTGGTCTGTACGAAAGTGGCTGTTCACTTGTAGCTCGCTCGAGGCGTTGCTGTAGACGTAGGGGTCGTGGGGGTTCTTTCTCCGTCGCGTTATCAACCTCGTAGCAAAGTCGCAGCAACTTTGAAGGGTTTTCTTAAACGCGACGCGGAATTCGCGGTTGAAATAGGCGTAAATGAGAGGGTTGAGGGCTGAGTTGAAATAGCCTACCCAGAAAACTAATGTCACTACTTCAGGAGGGTTGTAGCACGCTTCTGCGCATAAGCTGGTAATCACGTACCTGAAAAAGAAAGAGAACTTTTACAATCATACTGACTAACACCTAATTATGAGAGAATATTGACATATACTGATATCGCTGGGTCGATCAAAATGGCAAAGTCCGCAATAATTTATCTGCGAGAATGGACTTCTTGTTTCTTGTTTCGACTGTAGTCATTTGCGGTGTTTTGAACACACCCTTGTTAAGTTCGTAAATTCTTCATACTTCATACTTCTATGCTCACGAATGATTAATTGAGAAATCAGAAAAAGATTATTAAAGGTGTATGTTTGGAGCGTGGCGCCGTAGGGGTGCGAAACATTAACGGTGGGTGCGGCGGAAAGTGTGGTTACAAGCGAATAATGAGGATACCGTGAATAAAGAAGGTTAGAAATGAAGAGGTATTAGAAAGAATAGGAGAATAGAAGAGTATGGAAGTCAAGAAATAGGCGTGTTAGGTTGGTACGACACCTTCTCAGGCATGAAGGTCTGGTTAGAGACATAGTAGAGGCAGAAACAGGAGTTAAGAGGAGTAGAGGTAGACCTAGATTAGATTAGTGTTCGCAAATAGTTAAGGATATGGGATGTTCTAGTTTTAGGAAAATGCAAAGATTAGCTCAGGATAGGAAAGAGTGGAGGTGCGTGTCCAACCAGTCTTAGGGTTGACGACGTTATGATGATGATGACGATTAAAAAAAAGATGACAATTTTCATAGTTCAGATATTGAAGAACAGATATGCGAAAACAACCGGTAATATATGTTATCGTTGTATTTTAACATTACGAAATGTATTTCCTTATGTATAGGCTGTCTAGTGCGACAACAGTGTTCACACTATGCCTTCCTTTCTCTTTTAGGTATCCACGATAAAAACGTAAACGCACGATCGCACTCGTTTCGTGGGTTGATGTAATCGCATTCTTTTCGTTCGTTCTTATCTATTTGCTTTTCATACGTGAAATAATAGCGTGTAGTTTGTGATTCAATAAAAGTGCTTCAATTGTATACGAAAAAATGAAACTATCGGCTAAAACAGTTTTTATAAATAGTGAGGTAGCTTCTTTCGGTTATCGAGACTTTATTTTTAATTACTTTTGAATAATAATCCTCCATTATGTTGTTCAAAGTTTATCCGGTGAAACATGCTCTCGCTGAAACCATCATTAATTCGTTCAACTTTTCAACAAGGTACCTACATCTGATACTATCCCAGTTAATATTCGTTTTGGTCAGAAAGTTTGAATTCTGATGCGATGTTTGCTAAAGTATTTTGCCAACATTTGACCCATAAAACAGTACCTATTAGGTTATTTAAAACAAACATTTACCTACGCTAAATTTTATAGTACGCTAGCACATTTGTATTTTGTATCGTTGTAGGATAATTGTGCTACTTTATTTGAGTTTTAGTCAGCATATTACTATTTAGTTACTGTATTTAATCAATAATCTATTACCTGATTACAAATTATTTATCAATCTCCCTCTCTGTATAAATAAAATTTATTTTTAAAAATATTTTCTATGTTTTGTCAATACAAATAATTACGACTTTTCAGTAAAAGGTGAAAACTGCAATGATTAGAAATTACACCAATTCGGGAAAAAAAAATAGATAAATAATCGTCTTGTTACTGACAAGTGTTAAATATTTCAAATTAAGGAAATTGTTTAAATCCTGAACACAATTTAACAATCAAATTGAAGCTTATTCTTCTAGTAATTTCTATAAATTGTTGTTTATTTATTCTGTTTTGTAGTTGGAAAGCAATCGTTTAATCAATGTCTCTTTTGTTCCAGAAAAGTTGGAGAAATAGCTGTAACAATGAATACGGAGTATTATCAAGAGATGCATGCAGGATTCAACGGAACATCTTCCTGCGGGACGTCTGACTGCCAGAGAAGGTAGGATTATTCATTTAACTTTGTATAAAAGCTTCCCTTTTTAAAAACGCTGCACCTGTTTTGACTTTGTTCGGGGAATTTGTGGGACAAGTTTAATAGATTCTCCCCGAAGCTCTGCTGACGTACGGTAAAAATTTACACAACTAGACACACACATTTCATTCGCCTGGAGATATTAGTTTTTGTCCCATTCGAACGGTGGAACGTCTTAAGCTCGTTTGTTTTAATGCCCCCGAGGCTTTAACGGATTAAATTAAGCGACAGATAAGAAAAGAAACGGAGGGACTTGCGAACACTTTTGTTTGATTTTCTTTTCTCTGTCGATATAAATCTGTTTTATATACATACAAAGGTAGTGGGTGCCGCGATCGAACGCTATTAGATGTTTTGATACGGCACATAAATTTTATAAGGTCTACAGGTTTCTAATTTAAGTCACGTCAGTTGGTGATGAGAGCTTTTTATGATGTGTCACGAAAAGAAATGGAATTATGTGGGATTAGATCGCTGGGTGTGATCTTAAAATACCGAAAAATTGATGAATTTTTATGAATTATTCGTAATTAATATACAAGTACATATGTAAACATATTCAGTATTCAGATAATAGATGTGTAGAAGTAGAAGAAATAACGTTTGGAGAAGGTAGGATTGATGAGGCTTATAATGTTATATATAAAAGAAATTATAAGTAATAAGTTGAGTAGTATTACGTAGTTAGTATCAGCAATTTCTTATGCAGAAGTGTACGACGTGTTGCATACCTATTTACAAACAATTCCTTTAAATTTAATTTTTCAAATAATTTTTAACGCAAAGAAAATGATTAAACAAATTGTTCACAAAAGTGAATTTAGACCACTCACCCCACAAGAAATTTTAGGGGATGATCAATTTTTGTTCAAAGGAAATGAGAAAACGCTAAAAAAAGAAAGACATTGGATTCGTAGATCTAGAAAGAACGTTTGGCAATGTTCAATATGAGAAGAAGCTAAAAATACTTGAGAAGGTAGGGATTAAGTTTAGGGATAAAGGAGTGATAAATAGTTATAGTAGCCATAAAATTTGAATAACAACGTAGAAATTTTATAGATGTCAAGTAAAATGTTTTCGGAATCTGTTTCTGTCAATTTCTGTTGTTTTCAGTTTCTAACAACGTTCAATTCATTTATATAACATAATAATAGCGTATAATACCAAATTGCCATTTAATCATGTATTGATCCGGTCATAATAACGTTAATTGCTCTAATGGACTGTCAAAATGTAGTCGAAACTACTTCTCGTTATCACGTTGAATATTCGATTTGTGTAGGATACTAGGAGACCTATTCGATATGGTTGTCCCTTTATAATTTTACAATGTTTGTGCTTTATATTGATTTTGCTAATTGACTTTGAAGCGAACATAGATTCCTACTTTACCGATTGCTTTCATTTCAAATCAAAGTAGGTACCACGTTAATAGTATGAAACTTGTTAATGGACCTACGAACAAAAACAGTGAACGTGGTAAACTATATCCTCGATTTTTATTACATAGGACCTACAGGCGAAGTTAGACCCGAATATAGGGATATTTTATTTTGTCTCTATATTTTAACCATGTGTTATGCAGACATAGAAACAAAGAACTATTGTAGACCCTTTTGTGGTAAAATTTCTTTAGTGTTAAAATCTAGTAAAGTAAACTGGAAATTTCAAACATTAAAAATGTTTTGTTTCAAGAAAAAAATATTTTAAAGTTGCTTTAAACAGTTTTTCCTTTAGTCTTGTGTATGTGGTTTTGGTCTTACATATTCGATTTTGGTTTTAGTTTTGATCTTCTTCATTTGGTCTTGGTTTTAGTCTTGCTAGTATAAAGACAGTCTAGGTCTTGCTCTTGGTCTTGTATTTTCGAAAGACCAAGATCAATTCCAAGCCCAAGACTGCAAAACCAAGACCAATTTTTCTCATCACTACTTTAGCGGTGTTGTAGAGCAAACCCTAACGCCAAAACACGATTCTGAACGTTCGAAATACTTGTCGGTAACAAAGTTATCTTCTTCAGAAATTGCCTGACCGTCTTGCGTTCATAAAGCTGAAAATATAAGTGGGCCAGTGGGTGTAATAATTATAGTTTACGATACCCTCCTTGAAGTTGGGTTTAAATGTTACNTCTCTGTGGGAGACTCGAATCTCTGAATTAACAATTTTATCGTTCGAGTCTCTCATACAGAGACTGTGAGAGATCCATAAAAACACCTAGGCAATAACTGAGAGAATGTGAGAGACGCTCTTCCAGACGCTGACAGGCTCTGAAAGACTTTGAGAGACTGAAAATTTCTGTCTCGGGTAGTTTCAAATTTTTATATCGGAAGTTTATCATATATTACAATTTTTCCAGTGTGTGTGGGTGTTTTCAATCAATACCCTGCTTCTTGCACTTAACTTGTTTAACATTTTCTATCCTGCAACTCCTTGATTTTCAACTTTGACGAGTACGGTTGCATCTCAGTCGAATTCTTTTGTTTGTTGTAACATTTTGTTGGATGATTTGAAAGAGTTCCAATTCTTTGTATCAGTATTTTTACGCCGATTGCGTTTTCAGTTGGATGCACTCGTTCTATATTCTTGTTCAAACACAATTTCCTATTTTCTGCAATAGGAATTTGTGTCATACATATCTACAACAAATAAATAAATAATAACTAAAATTTTCACGTGTTTGTACATAAGTATTTATCATTACTTCAGTAATATCGTTGCTTTTAATAATACTGTAGGCACGTTTAGTTTCTAACAATTTTTATTTCCAAATTATTGCACTGCACGGCTGTGCTCAATTTGATGCAATATTTATTCTGTCTTTGTCTGGATGTAACAGGCATCGTGCAATATTAGGATAATTATTCCTCCAGGATGTGTAATGACCAAAATACGTACACTTGATACACAGTAAGTAATTAAAGCGTGTTGGCTTGAATCTAATTTACTCGTTACCTAATGAAATTAAACACAAGATATTGACTAACATGCAGTGAAAGGTATCTGACGAATTGGTTGTTACAAATTTTGTTTTATGTAGATAAAGTTAAATTTTAAAAAATGTATGGGTAGAACATGCCATTAGTGTTTGTATGCAACCATATGTACATATTTAAACCCGCCTACTTTTTCCAATTGTTTAACTCCAACTGGAATATATCGAAATTGGCGATTTTTAAAGATTGTGTTCAAACAAAAGCATGCTATGTATCGAAATTAAATCTAGTAGGTACTTTATTTTGCACTTTCTATCTTAGATATATATAATCTACCCTACCAAGGAAAAAGAAAAAGTTACTGCTTTAACTATTAAGTAAACAGGATAATATAACAAAGAAGCAGCTGGACTAACGTCGTTATCGTTTAGGATACAGTCACAAATTGGAGAGATCGTTAGCGAGTCTGCCTGTTTTTTTTTTTGCTTACTTCAAGGACTTTCAATTGCGAATTTATTTGGGGCTATTCATTAGGGATCTCCGCTAGGTCATAAATCAAAATTAAACTGCTCATGCCCGTCTAAATTAGGACGTAGGAACTCGGAAATTTCATTGTGTTAACGTTGGATGCGGAGTAGATTAATAGTAATAGGTTTTATAGTTTACGGGTTTTGGAAAATAAACTTCTGATTTAAACAAAAAAAAAAATAAAATTTTCAAATCAAATCGAAAATACCCGTTTCGACATCCAAAGTGTCATTCTCAGTTAGAAATTGTAGAATTTCGGGTGTTTTAATGTTTATTTAGTTATGTCCCACCTATTAATTAAATTAATTAAGTGTAATTACATCAAGTGGTGAGAGTTTTATATACGGAAAAGTTCTATTAAAATTTGCCAAAAATATTTTAAACTATAGAAAATTTCACTGGATTAGAAAATCAAACAGAACGAATTGGAATGTATCATACATCATATAAAAACAAGATTATCTAATGATAGAATAATAATAGTTGCTGTATCCTACTGTATTGTTTTTGTAATTCTTTGTTTGCGATTTATTCTGGTTTGTAGGTCGTTCGAAATCTGTTTTTACGGCATGTTGGGGGTAGAAAAATGTCGTTATTATCGGATACTTGCCCTTTTCCACGTGTTACACTCGCGTTCTATTTCAGGAAAAAAACTGTCACGTTCATCGTAGTTGTGTACCTCTGCCGTTTCACTTTCGGTATGTTTTACTGCTACCTAACAAAGATTTAGTGGTACTTACATCCCCCGTTTTCCACGCTGTTTGACCGTAAAATTAAATCGCTTGCGAGACCATCCAAACCGTAAAACCGCCAGCTTCTCTCTTTTAAATTGATTCTAATACGAATAAACCACTATAATTATACAGTATATAGCAGTAGGGACAGACAAGCATTTTCATACTTTCTACTATTCTATTCTAGAGAGAGAATTGACCCTTTTAAAGACCAACTGCGTGAAGGTATATTCGTGGGTTCAATTCCCGGCAGATGCACTACATTCTTTTACTTTTTACTTGCTATAACAGCGACATGCGGAAATTATTTTTCTTTTCTGCAATACGTTTGGAATAATAGAAGTGTATAATAAATACTGAAAAAATGTAGCAAAAGTTTCAACGTTTACGTATTGATATAAAGGTGTGTCTACATCTCTACACGAACACGTTCGAGATAGTGTAGGCGAAACAGATGCCTCGTTTCTATCCTCAAACACTCTGAACGAAGCTGGCCGAAGCAGTTATCTGGCCTTATTTCATAGTCATTTAGTAGATAACTAGTGACCCGCCCCAGCTTCGCACGGGTGCAATGCTGATACTAAATACATTTTTGTTTTGTTTAGATTATTATCGAAAAGGGGAAATCTTCAAAAGATACCCCCTGAACGTACTAAATATACTACAGAATGTCTTTATATACAACATTCACAGTTTTTTTGTCATTAGACAATACAAACCGGCCTCCCGGCCGGTACCAGCGCAACCACTATGTCCCTGCATTTTAACGAAAATA